GGCAGACTGAGTGGCGCTGCGCTGGACTGTCTGTTTGGAGGCACGAGGGGGTGTGTCCTGCCCAAAGGAGGCGTGGCCTCGCCGAGGGGGCGTGGTCTTGTCGAGGGAGGGGGGGTTGGGCTGCACCGTTCTCCGAACTCCCTGCTCTTTTTGGATCAAGAAAGCCGCACTAGACATTTTCAAAGACCGAACAGCTTTACATGAAAACCCAGGATGACTTGCTTTTGTGACTACTGGAAAGCTCCGAAGCGTCAGGCGAATTTATTTCTGACCCTAGTCATGCACCTCGTACTCACCTGAAAGCTCCTCAGACCTCTGTCTTTGAACAGCTCTGCCATATAGACACTTTGAAACGCGTTTTCGACACTGAATATGTTTCTGAAGGCCAGGGGGAAATGTGATTTTTCTGTCTGGACCTTTTTGTTTTTTCCTTTTCCTTTTTGTTTTTTTGAGAAGTCCACCAAATCCCAAGATGTTTGCCTTCAAAAGGTAAACGTTAAAAAAATGAAAAACAAAAAAAAAAGTTGTAGGGATTATAAGCCCTTTATTTAATGGAGCAGAACTTGAAATGTTGATATGAAGTCTACCTTCTAAAAAAGGGTCTGAAAGGGACTTAGAACAGTCAACTGTTTACGTAATATATTTAATTCAGGAGTTTAAGTATCATGTTTAGAACCTCTTGATCCAGAAGAAAAACAAATGTTTCAAAGCAACCAACCAAACTTTTATATCAATTTTATTTATAATGTATGATGACAAAAAAAAAAAGTTTGCTGGGGTTGTGGTTCACTGTGCTAGTTTGTACAAGATGTTGTTTACAAAAAAAAGGAAAAAAAAAAGAAAAAAACACAAACGAGTAGACAGTCGCCAAATAAAAATATAGCACAAATACTGTAAAAGTGCTTTGCACCATTAACTGCAGAAAGTGTTAAAACAAAGTGTGTGTTTAAAAAAAAAAAGATAAGAAGTCTTTACTTCTTAAATTTTTTTAGTCTGCTGAAAATAACATTCATAAAAATGTTAATATAACATACTTAGACCAACAGGTTTTATTTTTGTGTCTTTAAAGGAAAATCCAAACTATTTAAATTGATGGTCAAATATGCAGCCAGCAGCTGCTATGTTTTCTTTCAATATGGAACCCCTCACAGTATGTATTTTATTGTTCTAATAAACCTAAGCTTATGTGACCTCCAGTGCATATTAGACCATTCACTGTATAAATACGACATGTTGAATAAATTTGTGAGTTTTTAATAAAATTAGAAAATATAAATGCTGAGTGGTTAAAGACTTTTATTGGGAAGAGTAGCGGCATTTTCTCCCCCCATGTGACCGTTAGTGTCGCCCGTTGAGTTCCCACAGCGTTGCTCCTTCTGAGGGAAGCGTGTGTATTGCTTGACGCTGTAACCTCAGAGGTTCTGTTTGCTGCACGTTACGTTAACAGGCATGGTCATCACATTAGCACCATTGATGTGCGAGTATCAACTTAAGCTTTTTATTTAAAGACGGTTATTTGCCATTTACCTCTGTTTCAGCAAAACTGGGCATCCTAAAACTGTTTATTACAAAGATGTTTAATTTACAGACAGCAACACATTGGTGGCTATCTGTAGTACAAAATGTCATTCGGTGATTTTTTTCCACACATTATTATGCTTGTAGTTTTGCCATAGAAAAGCAGATATACTGTTATGACTCAGTGCCTTTCCAAAGGCGTGCTGCTTTGTGGTCTGTAAATGATTAAAACGTTGTCTCGAAGTCAGACTTTCTAAATCTCCCCAGAGGGTTTGATAGAGGAAAGAAATGACAGCCTTGTTGGTCTGTCTTCATATTCTTGACCAAGTTCTATACAGGAAGCTACAAAGTCAAATACCGTATACTACAGTATACAATAGTGCTTCTCTATTTATTAGACCTTAAGATAGTTTTGCATTGATATCCTGAATGTAAATGCCACCACATTGTCCGCAGCAACATGGACAGGATGCCGGACAGGCATGTGGAAGGTCGTGGGTTTAAATTCTGGGTGTGGTACAGCTGTTGGAGGTTTGAGTACGGTATCTCTCTCAGATTGCTTTAGTTAAGATGCCCAGCAGTATGAATTGGTACATATGCAAGTCTCTTTGTGTCAGCCAAATGAACAAGACTGGGGAACCTTAACTTGTTAAAGGACGCTCAGGAGTTCTATGATGTCCATGCTGTAATAATCTAGATGCTAAGGAAATACTACTGAGAGCACATCTTATCTTGGTAAATCCCCTATATTTTGTTTTATATTTTCATAGACAGGCTGAAGCTTTTTTAATTTCAGTCAAGCTATGTTTTATTAAATCAGTACAAAAAACCACGTTTGTGGTTTTGCTGTCCAGGAGGGCTGGGGTTCTGGATGCAGAGAAGCGGATGACACAGGAACCCTCTGCGCTCTGTGGGTGCTGGGTGAAGCCAGCCTGTGTTCCTCCTGTCACCCAGTCCCGTGACCCCTGCATTTGTCAGAAGGTCGTTTGTAGAATTACGTCAGAATGTGTGGCAACAGTGGAGACAAGGACAATTAACCACAGTCTGTAAGAGCTGAACTGAGACAGTCACACTTCTTTCTCCTGGCCGCCCTGACACGCTTGAACCTGATTTGCTGGTACTTTCGTCTGCGCATGGGTGACAGGCAACGGGTCCTTGCATTTTCAGAAATGTGTGTGAACCTCTTGCACAGGAAAATATGCATTTCGCTTCTGCCAGGCATGCAACAAAGATGGACATTTTTATTCTAACACGATGTTATCCACAATAATTATTCTTATTTTGCACCCCCAGAAACGAAGAACAAAAGCTTTTTAAATGGTTTAGAGTTCTTATGCAGAAATAAGAAACAAAAACCCAAAATGTTGCACGAAGTGCGTATGTGAAATAGTTTTTCCTCCATCAGCATATGAAATCTGTGTGGTCTGTCCTTGCTAAACTGCCATGTGATTTTAATTCAGAATATTATGAAGCTGAACTGACAATGACTTTGTTTGTATTATTATACGGTCTGCTTAGGAATTCTGTAATTTAAAATTTTGATCCACAGCAGAAGACTTGAGTAAACATCTCAGCGGTACACTCTGCTTCTGGATCAATGCGCTTTGTGGCTTGGGCTGACCAAGCCTAGCAGTTCCTCTGCTGCACACTGTATAATCTCCTATGAATTAAACATAGTCCTCCACGTTAAGCAGGCCTGTGCAGCTGAGAGGCCTATCCTTAGAGTCTGGGGCTTGGCCACACTGTTGACTCAATGCACAGCAACCCAGGAGGGCAGAGCTGTTTAAATTCAAATTCATATTGATTGAATATTGAATATTGGATTGAACCGACCCCGTCGACACGTTAAATATAAATGCTCTTTAACAGCGTGGAATGATTTTAAATGACTTTAAATCTCAGATGGGACAGCAGAGGGTTGAGTGTCCCTTGACTGCCTTTTGCGTTATAGACCACACAAACTTTCTCCTTGTGGCGCATGCTGGCACTGATGCAAGGAATTAAGGAATTGGCGATTTTGCCACAGAAAAAAAAAATCCCATGCAGCTTGCTTCTTCCTTGCAGCAGGCTCTATGGATGTGCCAGCGGCTCTCGAGACAGAGCACTGAGCTAGTGGCTAGCCTGTAGAAAGTATCACGGGAGGGAGGCTCCGATAGTGGTGAAAGGCCTTGATGAGAAACCTTAACGGTCATGATAAACAGGTGTTCACACATGGCACATCTGCAGGCCAGGCAGGTCGAGAGGTGAGAGTGGAAGACTGTACACCAGTAACACTGTGCACGAAGCGGACAGACCAAGTAAGTTGTCTACAGTACGCACCTCTCTACGCTGACCTGTTGGATCTGGAACACAAGGCCTTCTCCATCCCTGTCACCCACGGTATGAGGTTCCTCCTTCACTGCGTTGATGAATACAGCCAAGTAAAATATTTACTCAGTCCGTCTCCCCTCCTGTACCTGCTAATGGAAGGCGGTAATCATCTTCAGCTAGTGAATTTGTACAGCACATCCATTATACTTGTAACACTAGAATTCAGTTAATTATTATCACAATGTCTATTTTAGACGTGGAGTACTGGAAAAATTTTGGGAATACAATTTCACTATACATAAAAATTATGAACATAGTAGTATGAAACAAACAGCGGACAAATCTGACAAAAAGAAGCGTTTGCTTTAAAACAATACAGAATAGGAGTAAATCAGATAAGAATACCATTTTCTTCCACACGAAGAAATCCACTATACTTGGCAGTGGATTTCGGGACTGTCATGGCGCCGGACTCTGACGCGGCTCGCTGATGACGTAGTTATGCAAACGCCCAGGCCAGCCCGCTGTTCTCCAGAGCTTCACTTCCAGCTGAGCAAAGATGGCCGCGTCCATATCTCAGCAGCTTGAGGATTTATTAAACCCCTTACCGAAATTCCTGGACCCCGAGGACGACCAGGATGAAGGTATGCTGCGTTTTTAACTGGGTACTCTCCTCTGCCTTAGAGGAAAGACTGTATTGTCGTTTCTTACAATTTAACCACAGCGTCGTAAACTGTGGCGGCAGCGTGGACGATTCTTTCCTCAGCTCGGCGTGCTGAGCGCATGTTTGGTACCGGTCCGGCATCTCTTCGGTGGGTTGTGGTTTTTTTTTCCCCAGGGCTAACCTTCCCCTCAGTCCTGTCGCCGAGTTTGTTTTCCCTGTACAACACAGCCGAAATGCGTCGCCGGCTGTTGCCCAGAGTAACTTTCCCGGGTTCGTACGAGCCTCTGCTTCCCGCTGTTAGTACTCGCGGGAGGCTGAGCAGCATGTCGGACATGAATGTACTTCCATGAAATGTAGTTTTCACTCTCGCTGAAATGGACAGAGGGGTGGATATTGCCGCTAGTTCCGCCACCGGAGACCGTTCCTGCCAGGTCTGTGAGAGTGTGTCTCCGCAGGACAGGACGGACATCTTGAGCCTGGAGGTTTTACACGATACACAGGTGTCGCCTGTTTTTAAAGGCTGGGAGCGCTTGTAAGTTATTGGCCAATTAAGTCTCCAACGTCATGAAACTGGGATTTCTGAGGGACCGGTGGGTGTTAAGGAATCGGTATTTTGGAAGATAAGAACAGCACTCACGCCTGCAACGAGCCCACTTGGTATTTAATTGATTCGAGGGTCTGGTACAGCCGTTTCTTCAAAGAAGACGGGGTATCGGCTTCACCAACGTGTTCCACACTCCCACACCCCTTTGTGTAAGGTGCCACAAAGGACCCCTGTCCTTGGGTTTGTGTTTCACTGTTGGTTCTGAAGTCCTCCGCATTAACTTTGCCAGTGCCTTGGGGGAATTTTGGATTTACTTTCTCCACGTCCTCTCGTAGTCTTTGCTCGGGACTCAGAAGGTTCAGCTGTGTCAGTCTGCCAGTGAAGGGTATCCAGTTGCTTTTCTCAGGACTGGTACTACCAGAGCAGCAACATCTTTTCTGTAACGTGTCAATCAAACTCCCACACAATATTCTAAACAAGGCCTTCCCATACGGTGCATTATATAGTTTTAAAGTCCTTTGATGTAAATTATACTCTTCTGACTGCCTCTCTTAACCTTGTTTGCCTTCTGTATTTTGCTTCCCCACATTGTCCAGAAGATGCAGTAATGGAACGTTTTGTGATCTTGCTTCATTTGCACAAATCATATGCTTAATCAATCCCATGTAAATTGTTCCAGAGGAGGAATGGGAATTTTTCTACTTTTTGCTGAAGTTGGAAGTTCTTGAAACCACTGTCTTTCCACGGGGATTCTGGACAATGACTGGCTACATTATTATTATTATTATTATTGTTATTGTTATTGTTCCGAAGCAGAGGAAGGGTCTTCTAACCCACAGTCCCTACCCATAAGTCCAGACCTTTTCTTAGGTTAATCAGTATTGGTAGCCAGTAGGAGTTTGTACTGTTTCTTTAGCAACAGAACTGTGGGTTTATGGGATGGATCAGGGGTGCTTTCTAGTGGTTTAAAGAAACGCGTAGTAGATCTGTGCTCAGAGAACAAAGATGCTCCTGGGTGTAGATGCTGAAGGTCAGACTTTTCTTTGTTATGATCATAACATAACCATAATGTTTATGGCTATATTACGATCTGGCCATTTTAAAGTACAATTGGATTTTAAGACTTTCATTTATGGGAAAGATCTTAACGAATTAAACATTAATTTTGGTGCTTAATTACTCTATGCAGCATATGTTTAATACTGATAAATTGTCCCCATTTCCTGTTGAATGAACAGCTTATCTTTGTTACAGATTTAATTGGGAGAGTAATGTCAAAATAGTTTTATGAGCAATTTATTATTAATCAGCAGAATATGAAGACTAACAGTGTCTAAAATCACATACTTTTTTCAAGTCCCCATGAGTAAAGAAACTCACCATCTCTAACAACTCATTCAGGCTGCCAGTTTTATTTTTTATTAATCTGCTTACCTTTTAATACATTTACTAAATAGAAATCTTACATAGTCTTAAATAGGGCTATTAGAATTAAATTCACATATTATATTTGTCGTAAAAGGTCTTGAAATAAGAGCTATAATATTTTTCATCACACTCTGTAGGGTGTAAAATAACATTACTAGTTATTTTTTAATTTATGTGCTTTTAGAGTGCACAATTTGCATGTTTAAGAAGTTGTCGTAAACCCTAAAATTAGACACTAAAGTGATATTAAAATAATAATTCTTTACACTAATATAGCACTTCTTTGGACACTCCACTCAAAGCACTTTACAAGTAATGGGGAGCCCCTCCACCACCACCAGTGTGCAGCCCCACCTGGCTGATGCGCTGGCAGCCATAGTGCGCCAGAACGCTCCCCACACAGCAGCTCTCAGTGGGGAAGAGAGCGAAGTGATGAAACCAGTTCAGAGACGGGGATTATTAGGATTGACAAAGGCCAGGGGGAAATTTGGCCAGGACACAGGGGTAACACCACTGCCCCTTTTAAGAAACCCTGGGATTTTTAATGGCCACAGAGGGTCAGGACCTCGGTTTTATCCAAAGGACGGCACCTTTTTACAGTGTAGCGTCGCTCTTACTATACTGGGGCATTAGGTCCCACACAGAACGCAGGGTGAGCGCCACCTACTGGCCCCACTAACACCTCTTGCAGCAGCAACCTAAGTTTTTCCCAGGAGGTCTCCCATCCAGGTCCTGACCAGGCTCACACCTGCTGAGCTTCAGGGGGCTGCCAGGCTGCCAGCTGTGAGTTGCAGGGGGATAGAGTTGCTGGCGATGAGCTGTAGCTCCAAGTTGTTGCAAGCCATGTTTTCTTGCTTGCTGGGGGAGGCTCCGGCTCCCCTGCGGCCCTGAATTGGGTGAAGAGGTTAGAAGATGGATGGAACCCCCTCATCCGCCGGCTTTCGTTTTCTCTCATTTCAGTTACGCCGCTGAACCCTTAATTCGGTTAGTAATTGGATTTGTTAGAACTCTTTGTTTTGAGCTCTTAAACAGGTTGTCCATTTCCTTTTTTACTGTTCCATTTTGCAAGTAACTTAAAATGTCCTGGTTTCAAGCAGGTGCACCCTTTGAAAAGGTTCCAATTAAGCAAGGGAAGACTTTCACATACATCTGTATTTGTTGTTTTGAGAGAGGCAGAATAATCGAAAGCACCACTTTACATCATTCCCACTCCAGTTGATATCTAGTAGTGTACTTAAAAAAGGGCACTTGTGCAATGAGTGACTGTGTGAGGAATCCACTTAGAATCGCCGTGTCTGCGATCTCAGGCTAAAAATGGCCTGGCTGCTGACACCGGGATCGTCACAGCGCAGGAGCAGCCCTTACAAAATGACTCAGTCAGTGACTTGTGTGTGTGGTGCTGACTGATTGCTATTTGGTAATGAATGTGTTGAAAAAAACAGGCATGCTGACGCATAGCAGGTCTCAAAGTCAGGCAGCGATCTGTGTAAACTCATTACAGGTGTGGGTCTTGTGCGATGTCAAAGAAACATAACCCGGAATTCGATTTTTTTTTTAACCTGCACGTTATCGAGCGCCTGCTGCTTCAGTCTCTGTGTTGGGCAAATGCATCTGTCTGAACATGGGCCGTTAAATCACAAGGCATCGTGGGACACTCGGGTGTCTCTGGAGCGAACCCTCGCTCACACTCACACTCACACTCACACTCACACTCATGAGCCGCGCCTTATATTTAGTTAGTATATTATGTTATATATTATATAGTATATTGTATACTTAGTTATTAATCTAACTTCTCCCGCTTCTCCTTCCCCGCTGCCAGAGACAAAAGCCAAGGTGATCGAGAAGTTCGATGAGGGGGAAAACGAAGACGGGGAGGCTGCCGTCAGCGGGCTGCGCCAGCGGGCCTCGGCGCTGCTGGCCGAAACGGACCGGCGGTACCTGGGCAGGGCTACCTCCCGCAAGGAGCTGCGCCGGGACGCGGAGAGCTCCGGTGAGTCTGGTATCGCTCTCCCGGGCCGAGTCCTGAGGGGGCGTTTCGGGAGTCGGGACCTTTTCGTTCTCGCGCATGAGAAGGTTGTTCTTTTCCACTGGACATGAGGATGTCATTGAAGTCCAGCACGTCATCCAGATGGGTAACCAGACCAACCAAGACACAATGGCAGCACCCAGGGCTGCTGTTTCTGTGTGCTTCCATATGTCTGGTGTAGTATAGGGCACCACTGGGCCCTGTCCTCCCACAGCTCTGCTGTGAAACAGCCAAGAGGATGTCTTGACTGGTTTTAGCTTGCACGTAAGATGCACTGTTATTTTGCACTTGCCAAAACAGCTCTCTGTCCCTGCTGTGTGGTCCATGAGGAAATGCATCTTGGGTCCAGTTTGAATAACTGTAGTGCACTCATGTCGGTGACCTGTACTGAACTGTGCAGTTTCCCCGTGAGAGCTGTGCGTTGAGAGAGTGCATGACAGGCTATGAACTCCCCTTTATTTGAACACTGTAGACTTGCTTACTAATGGTTTCTAAAAATAAGGTGTTTACACCCTGTCTGCCTGCATCAAAAGTGTATTAGGGACTCATTCGTTTTCCCCATTGAAAGAGGCTGGGCTGCCCTGGTAAGCAGTTGTAGAATTCCAGTGACAAAGAGAGCCAACCCCTGCTCACCTCTGCCCTCTAGTGGCAGTACAGAACCTTAACCCGAGAGGTATGCAGCTCTGCACTTTATTTTATGAAGCTGCTGCTAGCTGTGTACTGCGCAATTTGTTTTGGAAGTTCTCAGGTTTTCATTGCTCTCGGTTCCTACACATAGGGACAGTCGTTTTGGTTTTCCTCCCCATGTCCACCTAAACATCGAGTCAAGCCAGGCGTTGAAGAACACCTCCCCACGTTCGCTGGATTCGATCTGTGTGCTTTTCCAAGACTCGCGCTGCATGTCAATGCCGGAGCGCTCAGCCTCGCCACACGCGCCGTTGTCACTTAAGCTCAGGGTGTTTGTTTGCATGTTACTGTACAGTGACGCATAGCAGCGCTGTTAATTAAAGAAATCCGTACTTATCCAAAGACGGAAATACCTGGATTAAGGCAGAGATTTGCAACTCAAACTTGAGACATCGTTAATCAATTTAAACCTATTAGGCAATTCATTTACATTTCTAAGTGAGCATGGTGGTTACTGCACACACTAATCTGTTCTTCTGCTGTCATTCACAGCTTGCTGATGGGTATTGAATGTACTGAGAACTGGGCAGCTGCATCTTGCCAAGCTAACTGTTGTATATTATGGGAAATTTCCCAAAATGTTCGGTGTGGTTTTTACTGGACACAACAATTGCTACGTTGAATGGAGTAATAGTGATAATTCCATTTATGTATATAGCACTTTGCATCCCAAATAATCCTAGTTTAAAATGATAAACCCCAATATACCATGGTCTGTATGCATTGCAGTTGATCTGTGTGTTCAGGTTCCCTGTGTGTTACAGATACAAAAGCTGTTGCCATTAAATGCCTTTTATGTAGCACGGGCTTGGAAAGGACAGTCACCTTTTGTCACACAGTGTGTCTGGGATTGTGTGTCTCCCCCTGGATGCTTGTAGACAGTTGCTCTTCCTGTGGTATTAGAGACTGGCTCTTAACTCCACGTTTTTGTACAGGAGAGGAGGAAGAGGAGGAGGAGTTGCAAGAAGGCGCCTCGGAAGAGGAAGATGAGGAGGAAGAAGACTCTGACCTCAGTGACGATGACGGCACACAGATGAAGGCCCTGCTGAGGGAGAAGACCGATGATTTTGTCTTTCCTAAGGAGACAGACTTTCGCAAATTAGCTGAAGGGATGGAGGAGGAAGGGGAAAGTGAGGAGGAGGAGGAGGAGGAAATGGAAGGAGAGGAGGAAGAGGAGGAAATGGAAGGAGATGAGGAAGAGGAGGGGATGGAGAGGGAAGATGATGAAGATGCTGTGATGACTTTCTCCAAAGAAAAAGTGAGCGAAGAAGTTGAAAAAGGAAAAGCAGTTAAAAACCAGCTCGGTATGTACTCCACACTCCCTGTTCGGTATAGAACTGCCATTTATACTACTGTCAGTTACGTTTCTTACTCCTAACTAAAAGCTGCATAGGGCATTTCATACTGTTATGTTATTGTTTTGGTAAAAAATCTTGCTAACATAACATTAGCAAAACTGTTAAACGTATGTTTTTTGAGATCTTAACTTGTATAGTTTAATTCCTCTTGCATTCTCTCTCAACTATGAAGACATGATGTGTGTAGGTACTTCACCATACAGCAATCATTTTAAACCTGCTCATCTCCTTTTCACATAATGAATGTTATGAATGCGTTGTTTGTTATAAATCGTGATACATAAAAAATAACCATGCTGCTCGTGGTGGTATCTTGATACCATCTGCCCTTAACCTGTTAATTCCTATCCACTCAGTCAATCACTTCCTGATTTTAAATGTAAATTGTTTAGTTTTGTTATGTAGTGTGTAGTGGAAGTAGCTAAGCAGTACCAGTGAACAAAGTCATTGATCATGGATTTCACATTGGATTGTTACTTCCTGGAAATTTCTTATTGGCCTGTTTTGACTTTCTTGTCTTCTGTATTGTCAGTGCTGTGGGACCAGCTGTTGGAAGGGCGAATCAAATTGCAGAAGGCTCTCCTGTCAGCCAATCAGCTGCCGCAGCCACAGACCTTCCCTTTGTTCAAAAAGAGGGGCGGGGCCGAGTTCGCTGGTGCTCTGAAGAACAGTGAGTGTCCATCGCTTGCCTACCTGTGTCTGTCCTGTATGTCTGTGGGTTCAGTCCTTTCTGTCCCAGATCTTTCCATTGCCTCATCGTTCATTGATCTTCCGTAGACAATCCTGCTTCTGTCCGGGCGGGATTGATTTAAAGGGGAATGCACTCCCCTGTCCGGCCTAGAGTGCGAAGCTGTAGGTGGTGGTGTGTATGAACTGGCCACGGAGAGAAGGGGTAGGCGAATACCTCCCTGTTACTGCAGCTTCAGAGCTGTGCCCCCTCATTCCTGGGGTCTCAGCTTCACCGGGAGCTGCAGTGCACAGTCAGTCCGCTGGGGCTTTTCCACAGCAGTACCTATCGAAACGCGCCAGTCGTTTCTGGTTCCAGTTCGTGGAAGACGATCACTGAAGCTGCTCTCAACGGGGCAGAGTAATGAGTCCAGGTGCCAGACGCCACTCATCACGGGGGGGGGGGGGGGCAGGGTCATAGCTGTCCCGCAATGCAGGCAGAACTGCAGATGGGATTTGAACGTGGAACCCGCCCATCCATGGTGGCATAGCTGCTCCTCGTCATCGGTTAATGATCGTACCTGAACGAACGAGGGGCTTTAGCAAAAAGACGGCTCCATTCTCCACGACAAGGACGAGGCCCGTGTTGAGTCTGCAGAGGAGCGCTGGCCCCCTGATGCGGCCTCCCCCTCCTGATGAATCAGAAACCGGGCCTCCCCTCGTGCCGTCTCCGGGCCTCGCTCGGTTCCAGCTCTCATAGCACGCTGGCAACCCACAGGTGGCCTTTACCCTGGCAGACCGCGGGCGAGGGGCTTTTTTTTCCCTTCTTTTTTGATGCGTTCCAATTAAAGCGGGCTTGTGCGAGTGCAACCGGGCAGGGCTGTCATTCAGTTCCATTACAAAGAATGAAGCAGCGACACGAGGCGATGCAGTTAACTTGATTAAAACCAGAGGCGGGAGGCCGGCTTGCAGAGGAAAACGAGGTGCTGTGTGCGCACGCTTGTGTGTGAAATCGGGAGGGTGTGTGCACAGCGTACATTGTGTTAGTCATGTGACGTGTATCGACATATATGTGTGTGAAAGTACACTACATGTGTATAGGATGCTTATATATTATATGAAGACGTTACGATATGAAGTGCTTACGAGCGGTTTTCTGTTTACCGCTGAGCAAATTATTCTTCAGTTTTTGTTCACGGCTTGTGGTGCGTGCTTCATCAATTGTGCAACCAGCTTAAGTTGAATACAAGTGTACTAATATTGTACGCCAGATGCAGACGTGTGGTTTCCAGCCAGGAAAGAGGAGAATCTGTAAAGGGTGTTGTGGGAAGTCGTGGAGAGCTGACTTCTGCTTTTTATGGGTTGGGCCACCCTGTCTTGCTCGTATCATAGTATATTAGTATATAACCGCATTGTTACGGTCAGGTTTTCTTCCCGGGAGTTTTAGTTTTGTGTGCAATTACAGTGCTTAGTCACAGAGTGGCACTTTTCACCATGGTGTAACACAGGTAACAGATATTTGTCTGGAATAGAGAGAATGTTTCACAAAGAAGGTTTTGTTTTGGCATGGCGTTTTGGAATTTTTGGAAAAGACATTTAGGTGTGCATTGAAAAGTTTTCAGAAGCGGGATCTGCATTTCCCGATGTTTGTTTTTTTGTTTTCCTTTGATGTTGTTCTTTTGATTTTTTTAAACTGTTAGCAATGTGTGGAGATAAGGCACTTACTGTGCAATCACATCTGGTACACAAATGCCGTTTTTTGCCTGGTGATGAATTGTGAAGAGCTACAAGAGCTCTGTGAAAAGCACTTGGAAAATGTTGTTTTTTCAAACGGCAACATGAAGAGCCTCATTTGCGTCTGTCATTTTCTGTGTGATGATGGAGACGAGGAGTTCACCTGGAGGCGAGGGGGGGGGGGGGTGTTTGTGAGGTGATCTTTCAGCACGCAGCCTGGTTACAGCATTCGGAGCAGCTCCATGAGGTCCAGCCTAATTGCACAGCCAATGTCGCAAACGCCTTGCCAGAGATGCACAGCTCTTGCTGTAGGTTTGCTTTTGCATCCCAGCACCACATAACACCCACACCTCACCCGGACTGAAAAACCACACCATCGGTTTAATTTATTGGCACCTGGACCTACCGAACTCTCGACTCCCTGTCTTTAGGTGCTGTGTGCAATGAACCTGTTAGATCTACTGGACTACACCTCTTCAGGGCTTGGGTTATGTACTCAGCTTATTAAAGCTGACAGAGTTCTTTCAGTGTTTCGGAGGTGGGTGGGTCCCTGTGTACACCCGATCCAGCTTCCTCTGTTAGAGTGGCGAGGTGTAGAGAGCAGAACCTGAAGTTCGGACACCAGCCCTGGCTCGTCCTCAGGCCCTTCTTGCCAGTGCTGGGTGAGTACGGCAAACGCAGGACAGTCTGGACCCAAACGAGTTGGACTCAAAAGATTTCTCCCCCCTCTCTGGATCTCCACATTCCATACTGCAAAGGGTTAATTTGTCTTTTCTCTTCTTCCTTTCCCTTCTCTCTCTCTCGTTTCTTATGGAATACAAATACAGGGCCTCTCTCCACCATTGCGGCTGTTTCCTGAAGTAGCCAGTTCTGGTTGATGATTTACTGCAAAATTGCTTATAAATTGAAGTAGAAAATGTTTTGCAGACCTGGCAGCTTTCAAGCCTTGCTCCCATTTGTCACCCAGCATTTCCTTTTGTGTATAGTACAGGAATTAATTAGGCCTTGCTGCTAGAAAAGTTTACAGCTATAATTTATGGGAGATGAAATTTCTGGGAGGGAAGCAGTATTGTACCGGTCCCCCCCCCCAATTTTTTCCTCTCTTTTGTCTCCAGCTGCGCGCGTTTGAATTCGACTGGAGCGTTTCTTTGTCGGCCGCTGTGCCATTTCTCCCGGCACGCCAGGGTGATCTCCCCCTCACCCCCCCCCCATACCAAACTGTTCATCGGATTTTGTCTAGGTGGTTGCTGTGGCCCTGATATAGACAGTCCCTCCCTGTAACTAATCAGAACTCGTTAACCGAGCTGCTTAAACCACACCTGACGATGACTGAGCACGTACAAGCAGGGAGCTGCGTCACCATGCGTGGGCTGCAAAGGAACAAGCAAAGGTTTATTAGTAAAAAAGAAAAGGAAAAACAAGACCGAGACGCACATTTCAGCTGTGGGGTCTTGTTCAGGTGTATTATGAAGAAGGCGCCACAGCCGAAATGTTGTGTCTCTTTTCTTTCCAGCAAAGAATGACGGAACATGTCAACCAGTGCCTGTTTCTCATGCAGTATGCACGCAACTTCCTCCAGAGCAAAGAGAGCTGGAGTTACAGTTTTCCTCACAGTTGCAAGGCAACACCGGAGTCTAAATCCACCCGTTTTGCTTTCCTCGGGGCTCGTGAACCTGGCCTTAACGTCAAGGATTTCTTTCCTTTCCATCGGGAAAGACCCGGACCCAGTGCCGGGTGTGCGAGGGGGCTCAGGTCTTGGAGCGACCGGAAGCAGGTTGTTCATGTCTCTTGCTGGGGGCTGAGCGTCGCCCTGCAGCGTGTGAATTGGTGGTTTGGGCCCTTGTGAAGCCTGTGTGTGAAGCTCTGGGCGCCACAGTCTGAGCTGCTCATGGTGCCGGAGTGGCCAGTGCCACTCCTACCCTGGGCAGCCAGGACCCTGACGGAGGCACTGACCACTGTACCTGCACTGTCCACGGGCAAAGCTCTTGCACTCTGTCCATTCTAACTGTGCAGATCAGCCTTGCTGTTCCATACGTGACATCATTGTCGTTTGTGTCCTCGAGAGGTTGAACACTATCTGCAGCACCAGTCCTCCATGTGCCTGGCTGTTGCTCTGCCGTCTATATCTGTGGCATTATGTAGGTTTTCTCTTTAAACGTACCTACTGACTCTTTTGATGGGGGGGCACTCTTGGCATGAATGGAGTCCCAAAACCGGAAGGCGATTTAGTTGTGCCCAGACATAGCGTAGTCTCACCTTGACGAAGACCAGCTGTGCAGCCGCCAAGGCTGACCCCTGAGTGAGAGGCATCTCAGATCTGTGTGTGTCTAGGTGTCCTCACACAAGTACTCAGCAGGTGTAGTAAATTATGGTCAAGGATTTTAATGTGTTTGTGGGCCATTGGTTGCCTTTTACAAATCTCTAATGGTGGGGATCTGTAATGTTAGTGATCTTGTTATGTGGGCTTGACAATTGTGGCTGGGCTTTTAATATTTTCCCCCTCATGGATGGGTAGTCTGCAGTCTTCACAATAATCACTCACTCCGCTTTGTAATCAATGCCCACAGTAATAGGATTCCTTTGGCCACTGGCAATTAATAAATTTGTGTCTTTTTTTTTTTTAAACACTAGTGAGCTGAGCTTGAAATTACCAGTGACTGGCTTTTGCTCATTTGCATATTTATTGCAGTTGAAAAAAAATCCCAGCAAATGATTGATGTTGAGCCTGCCTTCTGAATTCCAAACAGCACATTATTATGAAATGAAAAAAAAATGCTGGTGTACAGTTGATTAAAGTTGAAGATGGCGGGATAAGCAAGCGCTTTTTTTTTTTAGGAGATCGGAGTCTGAGAATTAAAGGCATATTTTAATGGATGTTGACAAGAAGTGAACTAACAAAAGCAAAGCAAAGGATTTGCTTGAAAAGATTTAATCAAACGTGTTTGGTGGGATTAATTGCCAGGGATGAAGGGAAGAGAGAGGAGCGACCCAGCGGGTTTGAATGAGTGGGATTGTTTCAGAGGTCACCCCACGCGCCTTCCTCTGTCATTTTGAGCGATAGTTTGGAAATGTCCTCTGAGCGATGCCAATGAGAATGATTTTTTTAAATGATTGTTATTGCAGAGGTGCAAGCATGGCGGCCCACCATTCCCCAAGCACAGGGGTCTGGTCCCCTCGGTCCAGGGTGGCTGGAGGCCTTTGCTGTGAGTTCTGCTGCCTTGGCTCTCCAGAGCTGCTGGATCTCCTTCCCAGTGTGGGTTGTTGAGCTCTCAATGGTTGCCTGGTGCTGGTTTGTTGTTTTATTTGGATGGGATTCACCTCTGCCTGTTGTTCCGCCCTCGGGCCCGATGTTGGGGACCCCTGTCCCCTGTCCCTTCTGCAGGAAGGAGTGGCAGAGGGAGGGCGATGTAGGTTAGGCACCAGAAACGGGAGCTCACAAGCCAGGGCGTGCTGAGCTGAAGCCCCCTCTGCAGGAGTGGGCTCTAGAGCACGTCGAGTTGGCTCCATCTTCTGATCCTGGCGGCTTGGTTGCACGCGACTGTTCAAGTGTGTTTGTACCCTTCTGGCAGAGCCTGTTGCAAACAGGGTGCTTACTTTAACGTGGGCAAGCTGTCGTGAGCAGAAGACGTGTATCGTCATAGACATCACCTCGCTGTCGTGGAATAATCCCGGATACTGTGGAGGCCGGCTTTATTACTGATATGGAGGGAAAAAGACGTTTCGCATTTGATTCAGAAATTGTCATTGAGAGTAAAAACTGAGCCCTGGCACTGAATTTGTCAATGCTGTCTCTTAATGTTTCTTTTTTTTTTTTCAGAAAAAAGTAAAAGCAGAAATAAGTGACCAGGTGTTTTCAGGGGAGGGGGAGGGCAGCTCTTGAGTTTCTGAAATGTTGAGTGAAGCAGAAGTTGCTGGTGAGCACGTGTGTCGCCAATCGGCCCTTTTCATCAAATTACTTGTGTATTAACGCAGCAGTACCATAATCCACTGCAGCCCCGCGCCCCTCCCCTGAGTTGTAACTTTTGTGAATGTGAACTGCGGATTTCATGCTCCGCCATTAATCTGTCGGATTAGGCTTGCGGTTCAGGAGGACTTATGTTTTAATGAATTCCTCTGCCGGCTTAAAACGGGAAACGTGGCCCTGAAAGATGCAGAATGTCCTTAGCGTGGCCTCCCAGCCTCTCCCTTCCACTCTCCGTGGCTCAGTTCTCAGACCCGGCTAGGGGGATGAATCATCATCTGATGTGTCAGGACTGTACGATATTGGGAAGACCTGTGAAACGCCTTGAATTGCAATTTTCCATGCACCTGAAATTGCTGGGAAATGGAAACGGGGGAAAACCCAACAGCTCCTGGGCTCAGACTGATACTCTCCAGGTCCCGTGTGGTTCGAGTGTGCTGATGAATGTTTTAACTGGGTGCAGCAGGATGAGCAGAGTCTTTTCCTGTGTGTCTCAGGCCCCCCCGAGACTGTGCTGTTCTGTTGTGGGAACTCGGATTCCTTTCTACAGGCGAGCAGAAATGGTTTGCCATAGATCTGGCTCCGCTCTGCGGGCAAGCGTCCTGTTGAGATTGTGCCAGGGGTGGGCAACCACGTTTGTCTCTGGTTTTCATCCTGTCTCGGCCCTTAGTGCCTCGCTGAATCGATGAAGCGGGTAAGAAGTCAGATCAGCTGTGTGTCCAGGACTCGGTAATTGGCAGGTGGACCTAATCATGCAGGAACCCAGCACTTCAGGAGGGCCAGGGCTGAGCTGTCCCCCTCTGCTCCTGTTTCTCAGGTTCTTTCTGTCTCGCAGGTCACAAGGCTCTGAAGGCCCTGCAGAGGTCCCTTCTGGAACTGCAGGACCAGCTCCTCTGCCAGCATCCTGACACCAGAGCCATTGTACTGGGCAAGACTGGCGCTGCACGGCATAGGTGGGTGCCAGCTCCGAGAGACTTGTTTTCCCCCCCCCATATGCCACCCGGTTTAAAAAACAAAAAAACGGATCGACAAGCCAGTTTTTGAAGGTGAAGCTGAAATGTCCAAAGCCTCTCTAAATCAGGTGGGTCAGCAGCCGCAGCCCTGTCCTGACCCAGCTGGTGGGTGTGGATGCAGCCCACAGTGTTGCTGGAAGGGGCGATGTCGGCGAGCTGATCGACGTGGAGGCGCCCCGGTGCGCAGACATGCTCCTCTCCGCCTGTGCCTGCAATGTGGCCCCCCCTCGGTCCTGAACCTGACACTACACTGAATTCCAGGGTCCCCGAACTTGACTGGGAGACCAGGCAGGTTTAACACAGGGGAGAAGGCTTTCTTCCTGGAAGGGTATCCTGGTAGATGAGGGGCAGGCAGGCTTGTCCTGCAGTGTGCAGAGTCCCCCCCCACCCCCATGTTAAAACTCAGTCTGGATGTAGAGGTTCGGATGCTGTGGTCGAGTACAAACCACAAACCGGAGCAGGCACGGAACAGCTGTATGGGGTGGCTGAAGGAATCGGAGGGTGCCACGTAGCTGAGGGGGTCTGTAGCCAGTTCTCTGCATCTGTAGCATCTGGCACCAGGTCAGGCCTGCCTGCCTGTGCTGCTCCTCCTCACCCGGTGCCTCTCCGCAGTGAGGATGACGACGAGGAGGAGGAGGAGGAGGAGGTGCCCAGCGAGGAAGAGGAGGGCGGGGAGAAGCGGGCTTGGGCAGGGCCCCCCAAGCGCAAACTGGAGATGGAGGAGTACCCCGAAGTCATGGCCAAACGCTTTGCCGCTTTCCAGCCGTACCGCGACTCCACGCTGCAGAAGTGGCACGACAAGACACGGCTGACCATGGGCAAGATGGGCAAGGTAGGGCCTCCGCTGCATTCCGCCTTCGGCCTGCACTGCGCCACAGTCAGGCTCATAGACACCTATGAGTGTGTCTCTTCATCTGTGCTGTGCATGGTTACGCTTCTTGCCCTGTTGCCTCCTTTAAACTAGTAGTGTAACACCTTTAAGCATTTTTTTATTCTAATTTTTTATTTGGAGCTCGTGCCATGTTGATAGGTAGGAGAAAAGAAAGGTGAAGTCTCGGATGTCAGCGCCAGTTTTAGAAGGAAAGTGTATGTTGCACAGAGCTAAATGGTCCCAATTGCACACGTTCCCCTGGTGCTGTGGCCCTGGTGTTGTGGCACCTCTAGACCAGCAGAGGGCGCACTTACTTTTTACTGAGGCGGCGACCCTTGGCTTTGTCCACCCTGTGCCATTGCAGTCCAACCGGACTGTAGTTTGGCTTTAGTTACTTGGCCAGATCTGCTGGCCAGGATGTCTAAGCGTCAGCTGGGATACAGACCTAATCTGGAGAAACCGAGGTTGTCTGCCCCTGCTGACAGGGGAGCTACGCAGCTACAAAGCCAGAGAGATGCCTCCGGTGCTGGGAACCGCAGCGCCAGGGAAACGTTCGGAATCGGGTTCGGAGCAGGACAGGCCGGGCCTCCCTGCCCAGCGGCCTCTCAGGAAGACGGCGCCTGCTAGCAGGATGGCGAGACGTCAGCGTTTTCTGGAACGGAAATCCGTTTGAGGTGGGGCGGGGAGAAGCCTGGCAGCTCCGATATCCCCATCGCGGCACACCGCGCGGCAACATCACAAAGCACCCTCCCTGCTCCTCCCCTGCTCCGCACGCGGCAGGGCTGTGGAGCCGCGGCACCACTGGAGAAAGACCGCTGGAGGCTCACAGATTTGCATTGAACAAATCTGTCTGCTTAATTCTGCTTTGATCTTTATTTCCTGAAGAGAAGATTGTCTGCTCCGTCCTCTGGAAATACTTATTTAGAGCGAGCCTGTACATCATTCTCTCGTTTAAGAACTGTAGCTTTTTTTTTTTTACTTTTTGCACCTTCTAATGCCTTTATTTTCAAGGACGAATACCTACCCAGTGTGTCATCTAAGTATGACTTCAAGTCAGCAGGGTCTTTAGGAGGCTTAAGTTGGCAAAATGATATTGAGACCTTACTTTAAAATAAAAAAGGCTGGGGCGCTGTTGTGACTAAAAGAAAATATTAATATAAGCAAGACTTACATTATTTTATTTTAGATACATTTTTTTCAATCCTTCAAAATGATACAAAATATCCTTTTGACTTGGGGTGTGTCGGAATATTGTGAATTTATCCGATTCATTTTAAGCTGGGATAAATATTGCAATAGGAACACCGAGGAGTTAGGATTTTGAGAATGGAGAATTGCATCAATGCCCGCGAGAGATTGCAGATCCTTCGCTGTGCAGCCCAGCGCTGCGACGGGGCGGATGCAGGGGTGAAGGTGTGGCCGGCGTGTGCCGATGGGCCTGGTGTCTTTTCAGGGCTTCAGCGCATTCGAGCGGAACATCCTGACCCAGATCGAGCACGTGCTGCTGGACCGGGGGCGACTGCTGCAGCGCACGCAGACCCGGCGCTCGGACTACAGGGTGCTGGGGCGGCCCGAACCCAAGATCGGGACCGGCAACGAGCAGCTCGGACAGGTGAGGAGGAGGAGGAGGGGGAGGGCCTGGCTGATTGTTCTTTACTGCTTTTTTCATTCCGAGGGGGTCACCTGAAAAGCCAGGAGCTGGATTCCATTTTCATGGAATGCTTTAAAGCCCTTTCTTGCGTGGGCAATCGAGATCAATGCACGACGTACGCCCCACTGCTGCATTTCGGGGGCAATCGGGTGCTGAGGGTGCTGTCAGTCAGGTGGCAAGGGCAGGGCCTCGTATGGCCCTGATTCACTGCTGCCTCGGCTCCCAGTGCTGAAGCACAGACATCCCCCCCACACCTTACTGGGTGAGAGTGTTTAAAATCCCCAGCTATCTATTAGTGCGGTTGATTATAAATGTGTGACATTTTTTCCCCCCTGTAATGTTTCTGGCCTTGCCGGCTTATTTTTGGGGGGGGTTGAATAAAAACGTGGCAGCCCTGTGTGCAGGCTGCCAGCCCGCCTCCAGTCCCAGGCTCGCTGGGTACCGTTTGTTTTCTCCGCATTAAGAGACGGCTGTATTAACAACGCTGCTGCCGTATCTTAATTGAATCTACCCCCCTAAGTGCAGCGTCTCGGTTGCATTTACCTGAAACGTCTGCGCCACGAAAGGAGAAAATGTGGTTCCCTTGATAAAACAGGGCAGGTATTGATCCCTGCCTGGGTCCCAGTAGTCATGTTTCCTGGGTATATCAGTGCCGTGCTGCCTTCCCCTTCCTTGTTGAGCTGTGGGTCTTACAAACCTAGTGCTTGCTGGTAACGCACACAGTAAGGGCCGGTGATAATTCAGGATAATTATCCGGGATAATTCAGGCTCTGGGCTCAGGGTGCTCCCCTCCGCCTATGTGTGCAAGTCTGAGGTTAGAGTGGCGCTGTCTCAGCTTGATCTCAGGCGGACTCCTTCATCTGCTCCATTTTGTCCTGACAAGGTGCATTTCTGCTCACAGGAAGAAGAGCCAGCACTCAAAGCAAATGCACATCTTAAAGACCTGGATGAGGAAATCTTCGATGACGACGATTTTTATCATCAGGTGAGCGGTTTGGTGGGGGGAGGGCGAGAGATTTATATATTTTTTAAGTGAGCTGTGTCGTGAGCGGCAGAGTGTGTTAAAATGAGTGGCGCTGGCAGCTGAAGTCATGGTTGTCAGGTGTGTCTGTGAGGCTTGGAAAAAAAAGCATGCCTCAATAAAACCGCTTCTGATCTCTGTGCAGCCAATCCGACGGCACTCTTCCCTCTCCTGGTTTCTCTTGCCGGGCAAAATCCCTTTCTCGTGTGTGTGTGTGTGTGTGCGTGCGCACACACGTGCAAAGTGCGGTTTTGCTATTCCGGTTTGTAAAAGGCCCGTCTTGGATCTTCAGCCTTTCCTCGTATTAGCTATAACTTTCCTGCAAAACACATGTGTCAAAAGAAAAGGAACTCATGGCCTTTGTAGTCCGAGCTTCAGCGGGTGGGGGTGGGGGGGAATAATTGTGAAAGCTTTTTAGCGGAGTGGGTTGTGCGTGATGTATTGTGATTTACAAAGGAACGGTTTAGGCAGTTAAAGCTGGAGGGGAGGAAGAGCGGAGCAGCGGCTGACCTGCTGTCTGCTGTGATGTGTGTTCTGCTGGCCCTGTGAGGGACGGACAGCCCAGCGGTGTGAAGGACGGAGCGGGGCTCCCCGTGCCCTTCCGAGGGGCGGTGCGGCGGGAGGCTTCTCCTCTGCCGCGCTGCGGTCAGGGCAGGAGCCCGAGGAGCGGCGTCACCTTTGGGAGCCGGCGCTGACGCACCGATTATGCATGTAATTTCATGTGCATAACCCTCTCCGCGCGGGGCGTGCAGGGCCCGAGCCGGAGCCGCCGCTTGCATTCAAGGAAACATTTCAGTCAGCAAGTCTCAGCGCGCGCAATAAATCATGTCTCGTTCGGCGAAGGGAGCAGCAGCACTGGGTCTAATCCATGCTGCTATCCATAACTGCTTGCTTGAGTTAAGGCGCTAAATTTGCGAAATGAAGTACTTCTGCCTTGAGGCTGACAGAAACATGAGCAAGACCAGAGCAGGAGGTGGGCTGAGACGCTGAAACTTAAAATTCTTGTTTGTTTAATGTTTAGAGCTCGCGTGCTGATTACGATGACTCGTTTATTTGGCTGATGCTTGGTCCGAAGAGACTTGTGATTGTGCCCGCTCATACAGCGGGCTTGAACCCACAATTTTCCAGTTACAGCTCCAGTACTCCGAGCACTGCTCCACACTGCTGCACCTGCGCAGCAGTGTGATCACAGCCCACATCCCTGTTTGATCCACTGGGAAGGACGATTCTTCATCAGAATTAGAAGTTTCCTCTCTTACCTTAAGGAAGACCCAAGTGTGCAAGTGTAAGGCTTTACTACTGTTGTGAATAGGAGTAAAGTTTAGGAATGCAGTTTATTTTCTATTCTGTGCTGGTGGGATGTATAACTGCATTTTGGTGTGCTGGTATAGGCAAGGATTTGCTTTCAATCATGGATCCCTGATTTCTCTGGAGAGCTTGTGCGATACCCTGGTTGTGCTCTAAACACAGCTTTTTGTTATGAGTGAGTTATTCCCCTTTTGGGCACAGGAAACTGACAGTGGATTTGGGATACCAGCGGTTCACACGTGCGTGCACATAGGTGTGTATTTAAAAACCTTCCAGGACTGCCGGCACGTCGGCCTTAATCCCTGAAACAGCTGTGGAGGGTGTCTCCGCTTTAGGGCGGGGGGGGGGTTAATTGGGGTAGGAGTGGGGGTTAATTTAAATTAAAACTTCAACTAATGGAGGTCAGGGAAGCATCTGCAAGCACCTGATTAAAACAAATGGTCCTGCCATTCAAAACTTTATCTTGGTCACCTCCCGCTGGAGCCGTGCGAGGAGGAGGAGTGACTAATGGGCGACACTTGTTAGCGCAGCGTCGGCGGGGAGGGAGGAGGAGGAGGAGGAGGAGGGGGAGGGGGGCCAGGATTACGCTGGCAAAGCCTCCAGCTTGTCATCGCCGCTGCGCCAACTGCTGCTCTCCGGCTGCACCAGCCTGCGCCTCGCCAGCTCCCAACATCTGGCGTGGCTCTCCGGGGGGTGAACCCCAGCCCCAGCGCCCCGCAGTCTCTAAATATGGCGCAGGGCTGCCGCGCGCGCGCTCCAGTCACTTAGCCGCTGTTTGGCAAGCCTGCTCGGGTAGCTCTGCACTGCCTCGTACATCACTGGCAGACATCTGCTGAGCCGCAAGGCATCCGCACACTGTCTCCTCTCTCCTCTCTCTCTTCTCTCCCTCTCTCCCTGCTCCCCCCCCCACCTCCTGCCTTCCCCGAATAATTTTCTTTAGAAAAGTGATGATCTGGAAAGATTACCGCTTCATTGTGTACCAGTAATTGCAGGAAAGCCAGGGACCCCTGACTGACACCGTGTTGCACCTGTTTCACTGACCTGCTTAATTTCTTTCTGGAGAGCAGGGGGGATTTGGCAGGGATTGCGGCTCAAGACACCAGTGTGATAAGGCGGCTGAAAATAACTCTGTTTGCTGTCACCTCTCTTTCCCGGCACGGGGCGTCTCGTCAGGGCTGCGGCAGGCAGGAGCTGCCCAACCCCCCCCCCCCCCCCCCCCCAAGCTCCCCGCTGAGCCGGGTGACTGACGGGGAGCACCTCTGTGTTTCTGGGGGTGTCTCTGCATCTCAGAGGGTACCAAGCGCTCAGACAACAGGAGTTCTGTGTCGCCAGTTTGAAGTTTTCTTCTTAAAGACTTTCCTTTCTTGTGCCACTTGCGGACAGGCAGGCTGGCCTCCTCTCGTGTGCAACTCTGTTCTTATTGCATCAGTTAGCAGACAGCTATCAAATGAGCTGGGTGGGGCCAGTGGCCCCCTCTTTTGCAGCCACTCATGTTTTCTTCTCTTCCCCTCTCTGTCCATGACTCGGGGGGGGGGGATCCTCCAGGGAGCTGAGTAGTCGGACACCAGGAAGAGTCTGAGTGCTGTGAAGGAGAAATGGCACGGGTGGGGTTTAAGATGCTTGTGCATTATTGCATTACTTCATACGGGAGGTCAGCTGGGGACAGAGTTTGCAACAGCTGGGATAACCAGGGCAATAAATTGCAGGGTCTGTTTGTAGTAGTACGTGTTGCAGTGTTATTCGTCTTAACTACTGTGAAGGGGAGTGAAGGGGGAATCTTATTCTTTGATTGTGGCATGCGCTTACGGCATCAAGACTACCGGAACGCGGCTACCAGGTGCAGAGCTGTTGTTGTAGAGGCGGGGGAGGCAGGCTGGTGTTCGGTGTCAGACGCATTAGAGGCCTGCAACTAAAACTCATACCGCTGCAAATCCGGGGCGGCAGCACGTCGTCAGGACCCGCGTCGATCTTAAGGCTGTAATGCCACGCCCGCGGTGAGAACAGCCAGTGAAGCCTTTTTGCGCCGTGCGCAGGGGGGCGTTCCCCAGCGCGGCCGGAGTCGGGAGGGGCCCTGTGCTGTCCCAGAGCCTCCTGGCGCCCGGCCTCGGGCAGCCCTGTTTCCCGCGCGCCGCTACACGGCCTCACATCGCCGCAGATCTGTGTCGCAGCGGATTTGCAGCCTGTATTTAGCTGCCAGGAGTGACGGTGATGAAGTAGGAGAGATAAACTGATAGATTGGCTGCCAGGGAGATGGTGGGAATCGGTCAGATAAACATGGCAGAGGAATAGCGCGCCGTGTTCTGGCGATAATAAACTTGTCGTTCTCCCGGCGCATTAGGCATCACACTTGAGGAAATTTCAAGGATAAAATGGGGAGGGAAATGTCCCGGATCTGGCAGTGGGATAGTGCGCACCTCTGTCTGCAGAGCTAACGACTGTTCTGGTCCGTTAGATTTTGCTAAGAATGACATCCAAACACTGGCCTTGGAGATCAGAATTCTTAAATTAATTTCTCCATAATTCAAGAGTAAGTTCGAATTTGCTAATCTGTTTTGTTGAAGGCATTTTAATTCTCGCAAGCTAGCTGTGTTCCTCGCGTCAGAGTCTAGTGGCACATTTACATCCACACCGTTTAAAATGCATTTTGTTATTCAAGAAAAGGTAAACCTGCTTTGCAATACATGCTGAAAGATATTATTCTCTAATAATAGGATTTAAGGGTAAAATTGCACGCCTCCCTAGTCAGCTTGCGCCTCACTAATACTTTTTTACGGTGCATCTTCTATAATCAACCCTGTTGCAAACACCTGTCTGCTTTCTAATTGCTTCCAACACAATAGCGAATGAGCTCAGACGATGGCTTTTATCCCGCCTGCATCAGCTCTAGCTCAGGGCCACGGCTGCCCTGATAGTTACCCAGATAAGTGTAGTAATCCGAGTGGGGAAATCGGTGTAGTATAACCAAATGGGTTCACGCGTCTGAAGTTACAGAAGAAAATTATAGGCTTGAAATCTGTTATTTATGGAAATAGATTTAAAAAGGGGGATAAAAACCTGTGAATAACAGTTTAGCCAGCATTAACAAGTCTATCTGCTGATCTGCATGTTAATCTGAGATATCGGCACTGATACAAGGTGAGGGGAGGGGCTGCTCCCCCTACTTCTCTCGACAAGCCCTCCAGCTCTGTGCTGCCTTCATCTGCCGTCTCCCTGTTTTCCTCCTCTTCCTCCTCTTGTCTGTGGGGTGCCGTTCCTGGGCCTGCCCGCTGGGCGGCTGGGGGCAGGGTGGAGCATCGGGGCTGTGCTTCACTCTGTGGCCCGGCTGCACGGTTCACCTAATGAGACGGTGTCACACTCCGCTCCTCTTGGTCTGCCTGGGTCTGTCTTGGTCTGCCTTGGGGCCCGATTTCAGCTTGCATTGTACACTGGGGAAAATAAAACAGGTCTCTGAGCACAAGGGCGATATTCCAAATGAGAGGGCTTCACATGCACCTTTGTATCCTCTTTAAATACATTCCTGCTTTGCTGTCTATTGACACAGCTGAAGCAGAGCGAACAGGGGTAGCTCGAACCTTCCATCTGCCTGATCAGTGGATTGGTCCATCTGGTCTTCCTCACGCTGACCTCTTCTTCTCCTCTGTCTGATCCAGCTCCTCCGAGAGCTGATCGAGCGCAAGACCAGCGAAGTCGACCCCAACGACCAGGTGGCCATGGGCAGGTGAGTACGGCTCTGAAACGGCCCTTCTCCTGACAGGGTGATGTCTGGGACCCTGCTGTCCCGGAGTCGGGTCTCCTGAAATTACCTGATCAAGCTCCTGTCTAAATAACTTTCCTTAACCAGCCCTTGTTCTCAGTTCTGCCACAGTTGGAAATGTCAAACTACCTTAAAGTTTTTGTTTTCAGGAGATCAAAGCTACAAGGGTCTAATTAAGTAGCTGCAGGAATAAAAAAACGGCAGGCTGGTTTTCTGTTTTCTCTGCAACCAGTTTTAAAATGAGGGTTTTCAAGTCTGCCGCTCTTGTGGGGCTATAATCCAGCATTTGTTTTTCTTTTGGGAATATATAAAGTAATAGTTTAAGAACCCTGAGTGAAGGGTCAGGTTGTCATAATAGGTAGAAATGCAGTGGGTGTATGCTATAATTGCAGCATAGTTTCTGCCATTTTGCTCAAGCCAAAACCCTGAACCCTGGTGCACCAACTGGACTGTGGCCCTGGGCAAACAGGATCTGGGACCCCCTGGCTGACATGTGCTCTCTGCAAGGCTGTTTGGGCTTATCTGTCTGAGTGAGTGTGGGTTGAGGGCGATGTCGGTGCGTCCAGACCCTGACTCTGCCGCGCGTGTGCGGTTTCCTGTCCCCCAGGCAGTGGCTGGCCATTCAGAGGCTGCGCAGCAAGATCAAGAGGAAGGTGGACACCAAGGCAAGCAAGGGTCGCAAAGTCAGGTACGCTTCCTGTCAGGGGAGGGGGGCTGGAGGAGGGCTGGTGCCAGTGTATGAATTCGCACGATATACGCATTTGATGGCACAGTTGAATTAGCCACACGACTGGAACATCAAACTCGTCCTTTATTATAAAGAAAAATTTAAATGATTTCTTATAACCCAATATAGTAAAGGGTTTGCTGGCTCAGTCCCCTCCGTTGGCGAATTTTTTATTTTGTTTTTTACTTTTAAATAGGACAAGCTGTATTTGCCAGGCATCGGGATGTTCTTATTTTTTAACCCCGGAAAAGCAAAAAATCCGGGGAAAAAAACCGAAACAAAAGGCAAAAGGGGGGGGGATTTTATGGTGTTGAAAAGTGCCGTTCCTCGCTTGTAATTAAGCTGGCGCTAATATCGAAAAAGCCTTTTCATTTGCAGCCTGCCATGGATTTGAATGAAATAATTTTTTTTCTGCATAGGATATTTTCTTTTTCGCAATCTTTTAAAAGGTCAGAAACAATGTTGAAGTTTTAATATTTAATCGAACATTTAAATTCAGAATGAGAAATAGTCAGAAATGCCAAGTTACACACATATTACTTTTTACATTTACCATCTTTAATTATGCGACATCCCAACACCCCCCACCCCCCCACTCGCCCCTTCCTTAAAGAAAAAGGCAGACCTTAAAGAGCTCAACGTCACCCTGAGCCTATCCAGACACTGTGACTGTAACTGTGAGATCAATGTCGCAAGGCAATTTATTTGTTGAGACAGCTGCTATTTTGTTGGTCTACAAAGCCTGTAATTATTAGCTATCAATATTGTGATCTGTCAACATCTCACATACTTAGAGATGTTCATCACCTAATTGTGGGGAGAGGCAATGTGGCACAATAGAGCTGTGAGCCCAAGAGTGATCTGTCTCAGGCCAGTGTCAGTGGCCCTCTCTTCCTCCCTGCAACATCCTGGGTCAGGTCGGCTTGGAACGGCCCTGCCTACTGGACCTGAACTATGCAGAACAAAGTGCCGAAACTAGGTAATGCATTTGTAGGAAGAGGGAACTAATTTAATATCTTTGACATCTCCATAATGCAGTCTCCATACAGATAACATCTCCCCTGGTTATTTAATGATGTTTATTTCAGATGAGCCAATCAATCAATTATTTTATTTTATCTTATGGAGTTCCTGTATAGTTTTTCTTAATGTTTTTATAGTGGCTGGGACAATGAAGAATTTATTTAATTCAGCGATAGGGTACCTTTCCAGGAGGCTCACGGTTCATTGATAAGGGGAGTCAGAGTTTCTAATTTTGACATGTAATCTGTAGGAAGTAAACAATGAAGTGTGTCATTTGTGTAGGGCGGAACAGATAGTGGCAGATAGTGATAACAGGAATGCAGATAGGAGATGCCTCAGTACTTGCTGCAGTGCTGTTTGATCTGAGCTGATGTGTTTAACGAGAGCAGATTGTTCCCCTGTGAAGTTCTGAGAAAACATCAGGGTAGTTCTTAGGATGCTCAGCAGGGGAAAGTGTTATCTGCGCCCTGCCTGTACCATGGGTTACTTTTAAACCTCGAAGGTACGAGTTAGTTTAATTGTCTATCCTGGACACACTAAAAAGAAGAGGTCTTTAATTAAAAAATACAAGCTGTCATTCGATAATTCATATGGCATTATATGTAATGTTCCTCTACTTGCTTTTAGCAGTAAGCAGTTAATTTACTTTGTAGAAATGTGTTGATTTACTGTGTTGTTCTGCACTCTTCCACCGTCATTTGAGTATCAGCAGTTTTTCAAATTAGAATGATCACATATAAAGTCAGACAATTTCATGCAACAGCATATAGGTAAAAAGTCAGTTTTCACATCGGCCTCTGCTTTATGGAGCTTCATGTTAAGTTTTGCTGTGCATCTTCATCTCATTGGGATTTTTTTTTAGTCTCTTTTGCCTTCTTTCACAGTGACAGTAGGATCCCTAATTAAACTGTAAGCTGGTTAGATAATAAACACTTTGATCAAATAGTTTATGATGTAGTACATTGCAGGTCCTGCCGCCTTCCCTTTAGAATGGCTCAGCTGGCAGAGAACTGCAGACCTCTCATTGTTAAGGAATCGGACTAATCCGCTGACGTCCTTTTCCTCTCGTGGAGGCTGCTCTCCAGTGTGTGTGGTGAGACTTGAACAAGCTCTTCTGCTTTTGTCGGCGTTCGCTCCCCAGGTTCCACGCGCACAGCAAGCTGGTGAACTTCATGGCGCCCGTCGACCACGGCGCGATGAATGACGACGCGCGGTGAGTAAGAGATTAATAACGTTCGTCAGGCGCCTTCCCTTGACACGGTGATATTGACCTGTTCTTCAACCCACGAGGCCCCTCCATCTCGCCTTATCAGATCCCCATTCGTCACGGGCATCAAAACGCCGCCGCGGTCAGATCTCTCGGAGAGATCTGGCTGCTCCCCGCGCGCCTGTAATTACTGCCTGCATCCGCCGGCCACATCTCCATAAATCGGCTGCTCTCTTGGCAGCCCTTCTGCCCCGCAGGACTCCCGCACTCCACATGCAGCCTGTAATTAGAACAGGAAGTGTTCTCAGGTAACCCCTCCCTCCCGCTCCATAAATCTCACAGGTAGCGCAGCTCTGGGCCTCTTTAAAGTTCTCTGAGTGGGCTGGGCTGGGCTGGGCTGTTGCTCAGCTCTGCGGTCAGCGTGGTCAGTGCGAGAGCCGTCCCCTCTCTCTCTCTCTCGCTGTTCGAGTCACTGCCAGGTGCCGAGAGAGAGCTCCTTTCTCTCGGAGAGCCGGCGCTTTGTGCCATCTGTTAGTCTCGGTTTGCGACAACGGTATTCCAGAATCTGTTTTGGCCAGTTTGCAACTGAGTATAGCTTTAGCGCAGCATTAATTTGCTAAAGGTTTTTCCTTTCCTTAACTTTTTTATCACAGTCGTGTGGAACTTCATTTGATATTTTTTTTGTGTGTGGAGCAGCCTAGCAAACTATTCCTGCTAATTTAAATACAGGAGCAGAGGACATGGTTCATATACAGTGTTCAACAATGCAGACGTAAGAGTAAATGATTTGATACCATGTCTAGACCCATTGGTAGTGGGACCCCAGGGCTAAACTTTGGGAATCATTGACTTAAAACCTGGTTCTGGGTGTGAAAAATTACCACTGCCCCTTTAGAAGGGAGATACTGGCACCTTTAGGGAAATGTGAAGAACTAGCAGCAGCCCTACCTGAGGCAGTGGGAGAAGGTTCATCAGTCTTTCCAAGAGTTCGCTCAATCCAGTACGCGTTCACTCCTCTGTCCCGTAGTTCTGTGTCTGCTAATTCTCCTCTTGTGTGTTCTTGTTTGGAATAAATGAAGGCCGTTGCAAAAGTCTCAGTTCGTTAGCGTGCCTGAACCGTACAACAAACACCAGAATGCGCTGCAAATTTTGAAATGCCTGACTAAATTAATGTAAGAGTGGCTGGATTAACTGTGATCTTTGATTTTGAGTCTGGCAGGGCTGTGGTTCTGTTACATTAAGCCTTTCATGAAAAATTTTGTGCTGCAGAACTGGAGTGTGAGAAAAGAGTTTCCAGCCCTTGTCTTCAGAAAACGTGTGCTTTTTATGGTGGTTTTTAAAGCCTCTTCGATTTCTTGGGTTGTGCTGTGCATAGAAAAATAAAAGATGATTCCTTCCAGGCAGAGATGAGGGAACTCAAACTGAGCTTTCTGTTGCCTGGTCATTTTTACACATGCCTTCATTAACTCCAGGCTCAACAGAAGTGATTATTTCGGAGTGGATGTGCAGTTTACTTGATCATTTCTACAGAATTGTTCGGTACCATTCAGAGATCATTCACTGTCCACGACTCTCACAGTGAAGCCTTATTGTGGACTCTTGATCTTCAGGTGTGACTGTTGTCTCCCTCTTCATCTCTGGGCAGAGCTGCCTGCCCTCAGTCTCGATGAAGATCTTGCATTGTATGAAATACAAATTGTGTATTTTCTAGTTGGAAAAACAAATCCTCCTGTGGGGAAGTTTCATAATATACATGATCTATTGAATACAGATTAGGTAGGCTTGTAATGTATTCAGAAATCATAGCTTTAATTCGCTTTGATTAATAGTGACAAGTGCTGAAGATAGGCAGGTGGGCTCTTCTGCCTGTGCAGTCCTTTTTCATCTTAGATTCGTGTCCTTTTGAGGAAATTGAGAAATGGGAAGCAATGTTCTAGAATAAATAAACAAGGGAAGAGCTGAAGGCGTGGCCGAGGAACGCCCACACAGTGCCGCTGGACATCGCCGTACGCTCGCTGCCCAATACTAGCTCCCTTCCGCACAGCGGCACACCATTTTGATGCTTTATTTAGAGTCCACTTCCACATATAAAATCTGTGTGCGCATGGGTGTAAAACTGAGCTATTCTTGATGTTGCACACGTGAATGTTTTCTTTCATTGTCGAAGTACAAGCTTTGTCTTCAGGTCATTTTTTTTAACATGCCGTAAGGCAAAGGTCTTTTTCAGATGTTTAATCCCGAGCATCCTATGACTCTGCTGAGAATCGTGCCACAAGCCTGACTCCAGCACCGTTTGTGGTACCTTAAAGGCAATTGAGATACTGTATAATAAGGTTTTAAACTGCAGAAACCCCCACAAGCAGT